TCTTTCTTTCTTTCTTTCTTTCTTTCTTTCTTTCTTTCTTTCTTTTTATGAAAACAGGTGATCAGATCCTCTCTCTTGGGACTTTGTCAGAAGATCAGGTTTATCCACTGAAACTCAGGGCATTTCCATCTGTTACTCTGCACTCAAATCTGCCTGATGTGGAAATTATATCCGCTTTGGCTTCTTGGAGTCGTATGGGGATGAGCACTTTGACAGCGTACTTCGGGCCTTTGTCAGAACGCTGCTTTCAGCATCCCACAGTGACTTGCTAGTAAGCAAGTGCTCATCTTGGGAATCTTCTCTTGAAACATGGAATAACACCACCACAGGCTTTATATTGTTATGATGAGACAGAAGGGTCTAGAACAGCTTGCATGCATTTTCCAGTTTGATTACTTGGACTGATTTACATTGAGACATCTAAAATACAGGGGTGATAAAACTGCCTTGTGAAAGGGGAGCTTTACCAGGATTTAAGCTTTAAGCTTTTCTGGGGGGAAAAAAAAAGAAAAAAGAAAAGAAAAAAAAAAGAAAAATGCTGAATTTTGTTCTTTTCCATGTTTTGTTCAGAACTGTCATTTTCTTGCTGGAGGAGACAAATTCTGGGCAGCTAGAGATGGTTAACATCCAGATTTGTGCCTATCACAAGAAGGAAATCCTTACAACTGGAAAAGCTTCTCTCAGTGAAGACCTGTTTATTGGTTGTATCGTGAAGTGCAGGCATTTTGCACGTTCCTAGCCATGCAGAAATACATTCCTCAACACAGGTCCTTAAGAGTAAGCTTGCTCACTGTGCCAAACAAACAGGCAGGTGCTTTTGCCTGTGCAGGAACTCACTTAAGCACAGAGAATACATCTCTGAGAGAACTTGGGGGAAATCTGTGATAAATCCCAGTGAGATTTCCTGCAGAAGGTGAGATACAAGCACCAGGCCTGTCCAGCTGACATGCTGAACAGCCTGTTACACTGCTTTCACTGGACTGAAGGCCACATCGAATGTCAAAGCAGGGCAATACTATCCAGAGGTGGTTTTAAATTAGTAGTTTATCTCCTGCAGTAAATTGGAAAAGTTGCAATTTACCAAGGACACGAAGATATTTTCTCTATGTCAATGTTCTGATTTAATGGCTAAATTACAATTCAACACATCATAAAAATGTGATCTTCTGTGATCTGCTAACGTCATTAATATCAGTTAATGCAGATGTCCATATTTATTACTAACATATACTTCTTTCATTTTCAGCAATATCAAAAGCTAAGTCAGTCTTATTACCCACTTTTGGAATGTCTGACCCAAGATCATGTGGATTTCATTACCAGCTTAGAGCCTCATGTCCTTACCTCAGTGTCTGGAGGACTTACTGCTCGAGGTAAGACTTGTTCACACACTGCTGAAGAAGAAATTCTAGGAGTTGAATTACAGTTGTTAGCTGTGGTTAAGGTTTATTTGCACTTTCCAAAGTAAATGGAGAGATTCCCAAAGTAGCTCATACCTTATAGCACGTTCTTTGTATCTTAAACAGGACGGCAAACGTCAGTGGAAGGTTTTGAACATTTTAAGAATGTGTCTATTTTGGTTAACAGAGATGAGTTATTTTGAACATCTAACCTGTCGGTTACTATAGTGGTATTTTTAAGTTATCCTTTCTTAAAAACTGGAATGGCTAAAATTATTAAGGTGCCTCTGGTGGGACTGCATTGAAAATTCATGCATTTGTTACTCAGAAGTAAAATATATTTATCAGTATGTGTACAGGAATCTGTTAGGGCTTGGTTTTATTTGCTCAACATAGCTGTTGTATAAAAAAATGCTTATTCTGCACTGCTGTGATATGATTGGGGGAGTTTAAAGATATCTTCGTAAGTGGAAAAAAGAAATAGATTTTTAATTATTCAATACTTCTTGGATGTGCTTTAGAGTAGAATCAGAGTAACAAGAGCATACTTGGAGTAACAGTAAAAATGCAGCAGTCTGATTGCAGTTAATTTTATTCTCTTGCACAATTTATTCCGTGTTCTTTAACCAGATGACGATCTGAATTTTTGGGGTTCTGGGGGGTTTTCTTTTTTGGTAGCTTAAATTCATTTGGAATACAGAAGAGAAGACTGGGCATTTGGGAGAAGAAAAAATACGTAGTTGTGTCCTGATGAGCTGAGAATGCCATGCGTTTGTATGGTGTTTGACTGAGAAACTCTTTAAAACCCTACAGTAGTACGTATTGATTAGGGTGGTTATTAAGGGAAAAAATAGAAACGTGTAACATTAGTGTGTATGGATGTTGCTCCATAATAGCTAGCGTTTCTCATTACTGCCAAGTGTCAGTCAAGCCCCACAGGAATGCATGAATGCACTGAGGCTCACAAAGCATTTGCTATGTTAAACACATTCAGCAGTTTTTGCTGCAAGAGGGAAACCACTCTTCGCAAGAAAATGGGTAGTGAATAGCTAAGCAACAGCAGTAAAGTAGTATTCAGGTCACTTTATTATATAATGCTGAAATCCATCTTCTCCCAGATATTTTGAGTGCTTTGTCACATGTAATGATGGTACAGCAGTTTATGCCTATAGGCTGGTTCTGCTGCGAGGCTGCCTGTTGATTGTGTGCAAATGGATGTGTTGTACTCAGTGTTTGTTTGACAGACAACTGCCAGTTTAGCCGTGTTCCTCACCCCCGCTATTACTGCGCACCACATCTCTTCCATTTGAGATATTGGATATATTCATTTTAATAATTCACTACCATACCAGGTTTACTTTAACTGTCTCTTTGAAATCCAATTTGAATTCATGTAAAAGAGAAGAACACTTAAAAGCTATATAAGCTTCAGCCTTCATGTGCTCCGTTTACTTTCCCCTCTCAAAAGTGTTGATCTCCCTCTCGAGGCAGACAGGAGGAGTAAGAAAAGTATCTGTTTTCAGTGGTGGTTGTAAAGTTTTGTGCTTTAGGTATCCAGGAGTTGAATCATGAGGAATGACTTTTAGGAATGCTTTCTTTTCTGAAAAAAGTATCAACAAAAAATTTAACTCACCTTTGTAAACCATACATTGCTTAGCCAGTGCGTTCATTTCACCTTGAAGCACCTAAAATAAATACAAATTGCAAGACTGAAAGTATTTAGGCTTGTGGGGTTTTTTAAACTTCACTGAAGCTCCATGCAGCCCATCAGAAGCTGTTGTTCTTTGAGTTCATTCTTTTTTCTTTCTTCACTCTGATTCCTTCGGAGCCATTTTTCATCTTTGACGTGTGCCAGGTCTGCCTGTCAGTCAGAGCCGGCTGTTTGCATGTTGCCTACAGAAGATGTGGAGCCTCTGTCCTTGAAGATATTCCCAGATGTCTGGAGCAACCTGTCTGATTTTGGCCCTGTTTTGAGCAGGAGCTTGGACTGCAGGGCTGGTCCTGCTTGGTTCCTGCCACCACCTTTAGAATCCCACCATATTTTTCCTGGACTTTCCACTCGTGTTCTCTGGTTTTCTAAAACAGTTCTTTATTCTACTGAAATGCCTATGCAGCCCTTCATCTCTGTGAACGTTTCTTACACGTTAGAAGTAATTATCACTTATCATAATTGGTCAGCTAGAAAACGCTTCTTGTTTTACTTGTTGTGTTGGTTTGATGAAGGGATTATTTTTCCTCGGTATCATGCTTCTTAACACTGAGTGTTTCAACAATTGGTGCTGATGTGGACCATTCCATTCCTCATTTATGTTCCAGAAGTTTTACTTCAGTACTGTGTGATTTTCCCACACTCCACAGTGCCACATCCAGGTGGACTCTCTTTGGTGAGTTTGCAGCATTTTGGTATCATCTCGGAGTTTGTTACCTCTGCACTTTCTTAAGATTCATTCTTCTATCTTTTATGCCTTCTAAAATCTTGGTGTTTGGAGCATTTCCACTTGTCAGTATAGTGAAATACAAATTTATTTCTTAGGTGTTAGTTGATTACATACATCCTTCCTGCCCTTAGCAAATAGGCAAGTAAGTCTATCCAGGTATTGCCTCTTACATCAGAGGCATAAGAACATTGTCGGAATAGAAGGGCTCAGGGCTATAAATCATCAGGGAGGTCACTGTATTCTAAGCTGATTAAAAAGTATAAGTCATCTTCAGAAATGTTTATAAAAACAAAATAGCTGGCTTTTTGTTTTAAAAATCAAATACTGGGAAATCTCCTCCATTTGACAGCAGAAAAAAACCCATATCTGCCTTTTTCTCTATTCCCTTTACATGTGTGAAAGCTTTGAGATTCTCACTGTTGTCAACTGTAGGATAAACATTCTCCAAATCCTTATTTCTGAGGAGTGCTCATTTTGTTTCTGAGTAAATACCTTGCTTGATTCCACACTTCATAAATACTGTGAAGGAATATGTATTCCTTTGGAGGGCCCTAGCAGTAAATCAGCTGTAATGGAAGCCCTCATCTAAGCTTTTATTGCAAGGATAAACACTCCAATAGTTCTCTTCTAAAGTGTTTACCTGGCTTTTTCACAGCTGACTCAGTGGATCAGAGCCTTTTAATGTAGTCCTCCTGGCATACTGTCACTAATCTCTGCAAAGCTTTTCTAATTCTTGTATGATTAATAGTGTAGTGTGCTATTCATTGAGGAAAAAAGCAAAACATTTTTTCTGTCTTGCTGCCTAATTTAGATGTTAAATTGCTAAATCCATTTACTTTCTAGGTTTAGTCTCAAAGGCAAATAATGCCAGTATTGAACTGCAAGCAATTGATGGACGGGGAAGATATAACTTAAACTCCCTTTCCTTACCTTTATGTGAAAAATGAAACAAAATCTTCTAATTTGCAGAGATTCAGTAATGTCATTAACCTGTAAAGAACTAATTCCCCTTCAGCATGCTCTGGTCATATTGTTTACACCAAAAGTTGCTTGGTTTCTTTGTTTGCTTTTTCTTAAATAACTCATTCTAACATACAAACTCTATTTCCACTTACTTGAGCTAATGGATAATTGGAATTGCACGCATAATGCAAAAACATGAATGTAATTAAAGGAAAAAAATGCATGTGAATTCAGCATTGCTAATGTCAAATAAATACATGCTGGCAAGGTGAAACTAAAGGAGCCAGGTTAACATGATGGTGACCGACACCAGAATTGTCATCCCTGTCTCCTCACCAGCACCAGCACCTATCAGCAAAATGGCTCTCACTTGGTTTTGCCTACCAGGGCTGCTGAAATGCTGCTGGACCCCAGCTGCACACGTGGGGCTGGTTCTGGCTGTAGCCACATGCTGTAACCACGGCCTGCTTGCTTCCCAGTCCAAATGATCAGTTCACAGACAGTAGAGCTGAGTTGACCAGAAATGAGAAAAGTGGTTTGACTGCATTTTTTCCTGATTACTCCAAGCTTTTACCTCGGTGTCTTTTATTATTCTATCCTTATTATGTCTTCTCCATCATTTCTTCTGACCATCGCCTGGAATCGGTAGCTCCTTGTTGCTCTTGTTTGTTCTATTTATTTGGTTGCCTTGCTTGTCTCACTAAGATTTAGTGAGAGAGCTCTTCTGCTCCAGCACAAGGTTCCACATGCCCAGAAGAGTCATTCAAGGGAGTTTGCTTGACGCTCCCTGTCTCTTATATCCTTGCAATCAAAAGGAAAAATGAGCATAGGGAAGCATATTTGATATATAGTTATGGGCAAATTTAAGTAGCTCTTAACACTCATATCAGATTCTCACGAGCAAATGATAGCGTAGACCTGTCTGCTGTCCTGCTGAAATCACTTACTGTCGAATGTAAAATATCTGCTTGTACAGTATCAGCATGTTTAGAACTACTGCTGTTTTGTAAACCGATGATAGTGATTTACTTTGTATTATTCAATTTAAAAAGAAATAGAGTTAAGCACTGGTTTAGAAATACAGCAGAGCCCTCCTATGAAATATGTATTTTCAAGTCTCTCACTTGTTATTGATGGTGATTCAATTCCACCATGAATTGCATTTCTAGTTTATATGCAGGACCGTTCTGGTTGAGAACACGGTGAGTGCCAGGTTCCAGTCTTTACTTTGGCAAGACTCATAACTGTGAACTTGGCTTTGTGTGGGTGACATTTCTTCAGATCCTGCTCCATTGAATTAGGTCCTAGTAAGCCCACAGGGCCAATGGAGACCAATGGAGACTGGAGCTTGTTCCTGTGAGCTGGTTGACAGATTTCAGCTCCTGCTGCTAAGTCAGCCAGTAGCTTTGGAGGATCAAGTCTTAGGAGACCTTTTGTAGCTTCATTGCCAGCCAACATTTCTTCAGCATTTATTTCAAAACAATCGTAGCAAAATGCAATTGGTTTATAGATAGCAAAGAGTTAATAGTGCCAGCACAGAGCTTAAGGAGTTAAGCAAGCACAGATCAAAAT